ATTTTCGTAAATTTGTAATTAAAAATCTAAAAACACATTCTCACTTCTTGTTCTTACAGAGTTCATGCTTTGAGAATAATCAAGCTTTGTTCAAAACTTTACTAACTACCAAATTGATTTATTTGGTTTCATCAAACTTCTAAATTTCAATGAATTTCGAAGGAACATAACTTTTTTCCCTGTTGGACAAAGACAATCTTGGATAATTTTGAAATTAAACATATTTTCTTGGTGACTGATTACTCAGTTAATTCATAATCGGTGAGTTCATAAAGAATTTCTAATTCGGATTTAGGAAGCTTATCTCTGATCGGTACAAGGTCTTAAGAAAAAATTTGCCTGTGAATGACAGTTTTCTACATATAGTAGAAAGTTTTATACTTGGTTTTCTTCATGCAGCAAATGGTTAGTTTTACTCAGTTCCAGACGGCCCCAGATCAAGCTATCCCACACAGAAGCCAGAACATCTTCAACTATAGCTTATATTCTATAGAAAGTTAGAATGTTTTGGTGTATGGTTTCTGTTAAATTTCGCCTTAGTTTTGTTAATGTAATGCAACTATTGATCAATGCCCTTATCATATAATGCGAAGATAAATCTCCCAGTGACATTGAGATCATATATATTTTAATCCTAAGGATTTTACTCACAAATTCAACCGAAGTCGCAACCAAATGTTAGCCATCCATCATATGGACATTTCCGTGTCTCATTTCAATTTCCATAAAGATTCAAGTTCTTAAAAATTTATCTTTTTAAGAATTTTCCAGATTTGAACAAAATTTGGACTTAGCTACAGGTTTTCTATATTCTGAAATCTGAGCATTTTGATGTTCTTAAAAAATTTTGAACACCAAACCTTATATAGCACAACCACCCAAATCTTGAACCATAAATAAGATTCCATGTTCCACATTTCAAATCAGCTTTTTTGACTTATGATGGATGAGGCATGTCTTCCACCTACCTTGAGCTTTGTATTTGATTCCTATTTACTAATAGAAGGAGAAAACTTGAACAGATTTTACCAAAAGAGTGCATTGTCGTTATATGTTGAAAATCACTATTCATATAGTCAATTGTCTCAATAGGAAATAGAATTTGATAATGAGTCCAATATGTCTCACCCATAGTAGAAAATTAGCTAAGCTGTAATAATGAGAATACAAACAAGAGGCGTTGGTCTCTTTCCACTATCATAATTGGGGTCCTTTTATTCTTGCTAATGAAAGGGAAAATCTCATGAAATTTTCAAATATGGGAGGAAATTAGAGAAACTTCTCAATTATTAAGATTTTTAAGAAAACTTTGTCTAAGAAGATCAAAGTGGGTATGATTTGGTGTAGTGGTAAACCACAAACCATGAAATGCAAAGGGTAATCCCGTAATTTGTAGGGTTTAAACTATTTAGATATGGGGCAGCTTTTTGCTAACTCAGATTAAGAAGCTTATGAGTTTGTGATTAGTGAAAATACATGAAGGCCTTCTTAAACAAATATGATACGCTCTTAGGAAATACATCGATTGCCGGTGTTATTAGGATTGGATTGGCCATTGAACAGGTGAAGGCTATAGTCCAGTCAAAATTGGTCAGATTTCTAGACGAACTTGTTCTGAATTTAAAAAGACGTAAAAAATATATGAATAATAGTTAAAAATATAGTTTATAAGAAGAAAAAAAGGCTGCCCAAGTTCATTTGGTTAGTGGAATGGATCGAAACCAATTGGTTGGACCTGTCAAAATTGGTCAAACACTTGTTTTGACTGATTTTTATCAAGCTCAATTTTCATTTTGGACAAGCCAGCCAAAGACAATGGAGGACAGTCCGACTGGTAGAACTGTTGTCCAATCCGATCTTGATAACTATATTTATTGGGCACCCAATATTGTGGATTATCTCTTACAAAATTTCCATTGGTGATATTCCTTTCCCATGTTGGCTACACGAAAACAAGCAATACTATACCTAGTTTGGAGTTTCCACGTGTCTTTATGTACGGTTAATTCATATGAATCGAGAGATATCCAGTCATTTGATCTTGATTGAAGAGATCGATGTGAGCTGATAATCAAATCATACATTAATTATAGCTTGACAAATACAATTGACACTAGCTCAATTTTCGAAAAATCGAACAGGCCAAAGGCTGGGTTCTAGTAACAGGTAAACCAGCTGGTTCAACTGGTCTAATCAAGAAATCCCGGCCAGTCCAAAAAGTGTTAAAAAATACAAAAAAATGTAAAAATATAAAAAATATATTTTAAACATGATTAAACAAAACACATCCAAATGAAGTTGAAAAATATTGAAAAATGGATTTTAAAAAATTGATTTGTGCCCAAAGATATTTTTGAAATTTTCCAAAAAAAGATGAGAAAATATAAAAACAAGTATTCATGACCAAAACATTTTCTAGTCTTCTTCAAAATGATAAAAAAATATTTAAAAACACATTACAAACAAATCCATTTTTTTTGAAATTTTGTATATTTTTTCTGATTTTGTTTTAAAGAATATATCAGCCATACCACCAAAACCGGATCAGCCAATGGTTCCAATTTGACCGGCCGGTTTTGAGTTGGACCGACCGAGTTCACAAACACTCCACTTTTTTTAATATAGCTAGCCTATTACATTAGAGCAAGCTTTCTATGCTTCCTTTACTGCATAGAAGTTCTATCCTCCCCTTTATCCAACCGTCCATTCTGAAGGGAGAGCTAGGATTCCCCCAATCACAATGTCACGCCTCTACACTATTTTATTTTAAATTTTTTTCTATAAACTATTTTGACACCAAATTTTGGACAGCCATTCCTCTATTAAACTCACACTAGTGAAAAATTTTTTAAAAATATTTTCAATAAAATAAAATGACCAAAATACCACTGAAAATTTCAAGGGGTATTTTGGTCATTATATTTTATAAAAAAAATATTTTTAATATTTTTTCATAAGTGTGTCCATTGAGAAGATGATACATACCAAATTTCATATTCATACAATTTGTATAAAAATAACTAAAAATAAAATAGACTTCGGATCTAAGATCAAATGGTGAGTGGCTCTCTTGGTCAAAATTGAATGGCTGGATGGTAGGGGGAGGATAGAACTTCTATGCTATAAGGGAAACATACAAACCTTTCCCATTCCATTATGCTGGGCTCACTTATGATCAAGATCAAATGGCCATGGTTCTCAAGCCACATATAAATTTTTAAGTGAACATAGACAAGCACAAAGATTTCCCTAGTTTCAAATGCCATTGTTATCTTTCCTCCCTTGCTTTTGTGCAACATTCTTCCTTCATCTCTACGTAAGAACTGGTTTATAGTTGTATGCATATGGTTAATTTAATCCTTGTAGCAACATAGAAGAAAAGCAAGTTGTTTGGTTGCCATACATGTTGAGTTGAGATGATAGAACAGGGGCAGAGGCGGTTAGGAGAATATTGGTGGGTTTGACAATAACCAGCATGTGATGTAAGGGAAAGTGATGAACATTGCGTGGGTTGCCTTGCAAACACAAATGGGAAAGCATGCAAAGGTGGCGTGTATGAGAGAGAGAGGGTTACTAGCATTAAGAAATGCTCAAAAGATATAAGGAGATAAAAGGAGACCAATTCAGAGCTATTAAGAAATACCAGAGAAAGAGAGAGAGTGTATGTTGGTCATGTGGGTAGAGAGAGAAAGTTGGTGCGTTGGTAATGTGGGTAGAGAGAGAGGGTATGTTGGTCATGTGAAGAGAGAGATAGAGTAAGAGGGAATGGCTGTGTTGGTTATGTGGATAGAGAGAGAGAGGGTGTGTTGGCCATGTGGAGAGGGAGAGAGAGGGAGAGTGGTTGTGTTGGTCATGTGTAGAGAGGGAGAGTGTGTTGTGGTCATGTGGAGAGAGAGAGAGGAGAGAGAGGGAGAGGCTAAGAAAATGGGCTGAATAGCACCCAATGTAGAGAGAGAGCATAAGATAATGGGTTGAATATCACCCAATGTAGAGAGAGAGAGTGGGTTGAATAGCACCCAATGTAGAGAGAGAGAGTGGGTTGAATAGCACCCAATGTAGAGAGAGAGTCTAAGAAAGTGGAGTTGGATAGCACCAAAGGTGCCCAACAACCCCCTCGAGACTTGTGGAGATGCGACCAACTTAGGTGAGGTATGCGATGAGAGAGAAAGAAGAAAGATAGTTTTGCCAAAAACCTAAGAAACTCTCCCACCCACGAAATGGAAGGAAACACCCACATGGAATCAAGAAACATGGGGAATAATAAACACCTTGAAGAGTCCCTCAAGCATAACCTGTTTAGGGTTTTGGGGGTGGGTGAAGAAAAAGGCCCTAGGGAATTGATTGCTTGCCATCGTCACCCCTACAATGTAGAGAGAGAAAGAGATGCCTACAAGTTAGAGAGAGAGAAGAGGGCTAGAGTTAGAGAGAGAGAGAAACCCTAGGGATGTGTAAAAGCCTGCAAATGTTCACGAGGAGCATAGCTGGACCCTGGATCCTTGCGGGTCCCTTCCCTATCTTGCTTCATTTCTTAATGTTGCATGAGGACACCATACCCTAATTCAGTAAACAAAATGCAAAAAAGAGGACTCCCACTTGACCCAAAGTTTTTCATGTAATTATTGGCTTGCTTTCATCTCTCTCCCACCCCCTTATATTAATACTTAACCCATTCCACGTCTTTTATTCATTCAACTCCCACATTCTCATCTACCTCCTTCAATCTCTCTCTCTCTCTCTCTCTTATTCATTCAACCCGCACATCTCTCTCTCTTATTCATTCAACCCGCACATCTCTCTCTCTCTCTTATTCATTCAACCCCACATCCTCTCTCTCTCTCTCTTATTCATTCAACCCCCACATCCTCCCTTAGCTCCTTGAATTTTACTCTATCTCTAAAACAACACTAGCTCTCTAAAAAACACACACTCTCTCCCTAAAACACGCACTCTCTTTCCCTCCTTCTCCCCTAGGTCATTGAATCTCTCTCTCTCTAAAACACGCACTAGCTCTATCTCACACACAGACTGGCACTCTCTCTCAAGACACACACCATCTCTTTCTCTCTAACACTCTTGCACTCTCTCTCTCGCTCTCAAAGCACACAATAGCACTCTCTCTCAAGACACACTAGCTCTCTCTCTCTCAAAACACACACACACTCACAATACGAGAAGATTCCCACTACTTTGCCCTCGAATATCCATTCTCTTTCTCTTCATTACACTCTCCCTCCCCCTTCTCTTGCTCTCAATCTTGAAGGCTTCTCTTATTCTTGCTCCCTTTCATCTTCTCTCTCCTTTGGATCTCTCTCTCTAACACAAATACAGGCTCCAAGTAGACCCATCACTTGACACCACCATGAGAGAGCGATTCCAGCCATGGTCGAAACCCCTACTTGATCAAATTCCCTTTGAATTGTCACACAAAGAGGACTGCATCCCTCACTCCAATCCCCAACAATTCTCATACCACAACCATTGCTTCAATCCTGAGACCCCAAGTGATCTTATCGCCGGGAGGATGCATTGCGATGTGGAGAGAGAAGGTAATATCGGTACCCTCATGGAGAGCCAAGGGCATGTAGAGAGAGATGATGACGTTGGTGCCATCAAAGAGATGATGTACAGGATTGCTGCAATGCGGCCGGTAGATATCGATCCGATCTCGATCCCAAAACCCCAACGTCGAAATGTTAGGATCTCAAAAGACCCGCAAAGTGTGGCTGCTCGGCATAGGAGAGAGAAAATAAGCCAAAGGATCAGAATTTTGCAGAGGCTTGTACCAGGAGGGACCAAGATGGACACAGCTTCCATGTTAGAAGAGGCCATTCACTATGTTAAGTTCCTGAAGAAACAGGTGCAAGAGCTCCAGTCGAATCAGTGCTCGCCAAGTGGAGGTGGAGGACACTTGGGACCCATCCATTGGTCGATCGCTCATGACCTCATGCCACCTGGTGCTTCCACGGCATCTGCGGGAGCCCCTGGTGCGATTAACAGTGGGATTAGTGGCTATTGTGATTAAGAAGTAATTAGTGCTACTAATCGTTGTAATATTATGAAGGTGGTGAGTAGTTAATGGATGATTTATATTTGTTCATCATCCATTTGTTGAAAGACATGGTCGTTACTAGGAATCCTTTTGATTGTGGAGTTCGTTAGTAATTGAACTTAATTGTTTAGTATTATTAACTAAGTAATATACTAGCATGAATCATAGAATAATAGTTCTTGGTTGCTCATTATGTGTGCAGAGAGCGAGACAGAGAAAGAGTATCGAAGCAATTGTTTGTTATTGTTAACTAGACACACCTTCAAATAGTGCCAAGAAATGTTTACTATAAATCTTTGTGATAACCTTAAAACATATTTTCATCTTTAATTATAAAATTTAAAGCTTAACAAATAGTGTAGATCAAACAAATCTATGTAAACTTGAAAATCTTGAAATGTCTAAAAATGCGTTACACGATGCACTATTTTCAAAACTTAAAATCTATTTTTTTCTCATGTCCATGTATCTCGATGTCGAGACTACGAATTTAAAGATATGTAAGCATCAAAACAACCTTTTCTAGTGAAATTGGTTAGGTGGGCTCTAATCAGCAGTTAATGATTTATAGATATCGTTTGTTGGTTGCTTATTGAGTGTGTAGAGAGAGAAAGAGATGAACTAATTTATAGATATCATTTGTTGGTTGCTTATTGAGTGGGTAAGAGAGAGAGAGAGATGAACTAATTGTTTATTGCTTATTAGGCACGAAGAATAGAATTTAAGTACCTATTGTTAACCAGGAAGTATGTTAAACGAGCATTTAATGAATCATACAGAATCACAGCTGTCGGTTGCTTATTGCGTGTATAGTGAGAGGAGTTCCTAAATTAAAATATAGGCAAAGAGAGAGAGAGATAGAGTTCTTGCTTTAAATTATGAAACAAACCATTGAAGAGAGAAATCAACAGAATGATAGACATGCATGTGACAATGGGTAGTTACGATTTTGTTGACTTCGATTTTGTTGACTTAAGGGTTCACTGATCTTAAAATCCTTACTTTCAGTTATCTCTTTGTAGTTTGTATTTCTTATATAATATACAGAGAGAGGGAGAGAGAGCTTAAGGAAACATCACGTTTGAAGAGAGAGTAATCTTGGGATAAATGGTGATGAGAGAGGGAACTTAGGGGGATACATGGTAATCAGAGAGAGAGAGACCGTTCATCATAGTGAAGGGTGGTAAGATCTTGATAGGTTTAGAGGCAATCGATGCCGTAAGCTTAATGATTGCACATGGTGCAATTTTCAATGGGAGCCCTAATGATGGGGTGCATTGCTTAAAAGTCAGAGCCCCTAGGCTTTTGAGGAAATATAATATCTTACTAATAAAAACAGCGCAAAAATTTTCTATTTTTTTAAGGCAACCATTGATACAAGTTGAGAAAAGATTATATGGGTGTGTAAAGTATGCTATGGTACATGTAGCACACAAACAATATACGGCTTACAGGTTTGAAGCAATCCCATGCTTGAATCTATCAATCGAGGTATATGTAGTTGAGAACATAGTTATCAAAATCATACCGAATTAGTGGTCTGATCAGGTCCGACCTGTACTTGGGTCGGTCTAACATGAGCATTAAACTGGTATTTCTTAAAAACTGGTGGTTAAACTGTTTGACCACCGGTTTTTCCGGTTCTGATGGATGAATTGGCCCAATCTTCCCCCCACCTCTCCTGATATTCTTTGATTTGATTTTTTTATTTTGATTGTACATGACATTTTATTTGCAAAATCTTTAATCCAAAAGACCTCAAGATTTTGGCCAAAATCATTACCCTAAAAGGTTAAAATGAAAATCCTTTTTTTTTTTGCACTTTTTAGTTTTATTTTAAAAAAAAATTTACTCTCATTCCACTTGTCATTCTGTCTTTAATGGGGACAAAGGTGCACTTGGTTCTTCTTCATTGACGCATTTCAACTTTATGAATAAGGATGTCACAAGATTTATTAATTTTGATATAATTGGCTAAATTTTAAAACCCTCCTGTTTTTTTCACAAGTTAGATTTTTTTTACAACAATTTATGAAAAAATATCTTATTTTTAATTGAGTTTTCAATGGTGTTGCCTAATGCTTATCTTATTTTTAATTAAATTTTAAAAAATTAATCAATTTTTTAATTATTTACATATATAAAAAAGGTCTGACCGGTTTTAAGTGGACCAGTCCCTTTGCCTATTCGAGCACTAATCTGATCCTGATAACACGGGTTGAGAACATGTATAACTGAGATTCAATGCAGCCGATACTTTTTCATGCCACAAATATTGCATTTATGTAATCTTCTCTATGTGCATGAAAGTAAAGAATATGTTAATGGATATATGAAAACTTATCAATATACCCACCAGTGATGTACTATTCAACATTTTACATAGTTGCCTCAATTTCAACTCATAATCACAAGTGTTTTGATAGGTATTTTAAAAGTGAATCAAATCATCTTTTGATAGGTATTTTAAAAGTGAATCAAATCTATAGGTAAAATGTTAAATAGTTCATCTCTTATAGGCATTTTGAGAAATTGCCGACTTGAACTATCTCTAAGCTTTGCGTGCACGGGTGATGAACTAATTTTATAGAATCACGTGCAAAGGGAAATCTAAGTCAAAAGAATCTTCACTGACATAACATTTTATAGCCTTGCAAAGACTAGTGCAGCGTGGTGTAAAAATATATACTCACATGCCCGCTAGCAGCAAACCAAAGGAGCATGAATTGACAAGATATGGGCATGATCCATATGTAAGAGGCAGTTGAACATATACCTAGTTAAACAAGTGTGTTGATATTTTGAATTTAAATTCAAAATGTCTAACTGCTCAAAACATGGGTTGTGTAATGATCATAGGTCATATGAGATATGCTGAACTTGGGTAGGCATTAACCATTGTATAATGACTATGCATAGTTGAATTGGTATGATTAAAAATAATTACTTTGTTGTGGGCTAAGTAGACCTTTAACCTCATAACGAGCAATGTAGGAACGCAGGTGGGCAGTACTGGTGGTGTATGTCTCAATAGCCATGTGGAGGAGGTTGAGTACGCAGGTGCATACTTGGTGCTATATAAATCCCTTACCCGAACCTTTTAGGGCATTTGTGTTTATATGGTGAATAAGGATGGAATGCCACCTTTTGCCTACACCTCGTGTGTGCTTCATGTGTTTGCTGCAATTGTTGTTTAGGCTTTTGAAAGGTTGGCCCTGCCTTATTTCGGTTCATGTTTGTCTCAATCTTAGTTGTTTGGTCGAAAACTAGGACTAAGAATGGGTTGGATCAGGTCCGGATCCGAATTTGTATTCGAAAAATATACATGGGATTCTCATGCAAATCCGATCAGATTCATAATATTTGGATGTGGATTTGGATCGAAGTTGTATACATGGGATCCGGATCTAGATCTGGTTCTGACCAGATGCAAAAAACTATTTCGTATATTATTTTGTATCTATAAAATAATATATGACAAAAAAATGTTAAATAACATATATGCATATATGTAGAATAATATATAACAACTAGCTCGAATCCGAATCGGATCCACATGTACTCAGATCCGATCTCAATTACTATTTGGATCCGGATCCAACCTATCAAATCCAAATATTGGATTCATACCTGGATCCAAAATTCGGGTTTCGGATCAAAACAACCAAGTAAATTCTCAACCCTAGTGATAACTGGTAACATAGCGTTGTTTGGTGACCGTATCTGGTGGTGGTCGAATGAAAATGGGAACGGGCTAGTCACCTTCAGGAGCCAATTGGAGCAATTCATGATCTAAGGGGTCCAAGATGGTGGATTGGCACACAACTTCCTCGTTTTGGAGGCTCGGTTGGTTCCTTGGAGGCTAACATGGAGGAGCGATGTGGCATCTGTAATGCTTGTATGGAAGAGCTCCTAGACAACCTAAAATTCAAGGTAAGTGCGTAGCCCTGGAAGAAGGCATGGACATTTTCAATAAGGCCTCTTGTAATAAGCAGCTTAGACTCTCGTAACTTGAGGGTATTGGACCCAGGATGTTCAGAGGCATGAAGGACTCCATGAAAAAATTCCTACAGGAAACTATGCAGTACAGTGACATCGTTCTTTCATGCCCGTGAGGAAGATCGAGTTGGCATTTGCACTATGTACGGCATCGCATCAAAGAGATGAAACTATGGTGGAGGATGTGGATCGAGGACTTCAAGCCCAAACGTGACCGCTTGGGAGGTCTTGAAACAAAAGATGAAAGATATGTTCTTGCCAGATAGGTATTGTGGCCTAGATGGCTCATGAGGATTTGCGAAAGCTTCGGCAAACAAGCTGGGTGAGGGAGTATGTGAAGAGTTTGCATCTCTCATTTGTGGACCGTGACCGAAGAGGATCAAAACGTTTACTTTGGGCTACAAGGTTGAGCCTATGCTGAGTTGAAAGTAAATGTGTGAAGGTTAATGCAGCTTAGGACGTGCATGCACATGTAGGCTAGTAAACGACCCTTGGTGCAAGGCCTTGGGCAAATGATGCTAATGGATGATTAGGTGGGACTTGGTACACCATTGAGACCAACTCGTTGAGGCTTAAGTGGTTTAACTATGGTCAGCACGACTTGAAGGATATGAGTATGGTCCATGTGCAAGAGTGGCTTACTATGCCTTGGTTGGGATGGTATATTGACCCCAACGGTCAAGTGTGCAAATTCAAATTCACATTATCCATATGAGAGAGTGAGTAAACTTAGGCGGGCATTAACAATCGTGTAACGATTATGCAGTTTTGAATTGGGATACATGAACCATGTACACATGTGACGTGAGTAAACAGACCCTTAACTCCCCCTAAATGAACTAATCACACAATTATTGATGGTGGACATGGGCTAGTGCCATAGCCACATCAGATGGTGGGTAGTAACTGTGGTGCAAGCCTTATTAGCCATGTCAATAGGATGAACATGTGAGTGCACTCGGGGCTATATGAGTCCCTTGAACCTTTGAAGGCCATCAGTGACATTACATTTCCTAGTGTATATTGTATAAGAGCGGGTTGTGATGCTAATTTGTACACATATTTCGTATTTATTTGCAACATTCCTCTTGTGAGAAGGTTAACCTTGCCTTAATGAGGGTTTTCTTGTGAGAAGGTTAACCAACCTTTTTTCTGTTCGAGGAAAACTTAAAAGATGAAAGCCATAACGTATGATTGAGGTATGTGGATTGTTACCACCATGTCCCGACCCTTTTTTCTGTTCGAGAAAAATTTAAAAGATGAAAGCCACAACGTACAATTGAAGTATGTGGGTTGTTACCATCGTGTCCCACCATCGTCAGAAATCATTTTTAGAAGATTTTTCAAATAATGGAAATTAGAAGATTTTTCAAATAATGGGAAGTCCAAGGCATATATGCTACATAAAACATAAAATTCCACTTAAGTCCCTCAAGGTCATGGACCCTCGTGTGCATTCCAAACTTTGTGAGAACTCTCAGGTGTCTAAGAAATGCGAGTATGTCATGATCCCGCGGGAGCATATAATGTCAATTTTCAAACTTTTCAATCTTAAATTTGAGACTCAATTCTAAAATCTAAGAAAAAATCACTATATAAATATTTTTAAATAGTAGAATTATAGTTTTCAACACTAGATGGTGCCTTCAAAAAATTGGACAGTATGTGTTCAACCTTGAGATTTTCTTTTTTAAGATCATAAAATCTATGATTTGTAACTTGGGTTTTACTAAACACTTTACTCCGGCAGGAGCACACCCGAGAAAGATATTTTTTGTCATTTCAAGGGGAAGTCCACACTCCACACACATCTATTTTGTTTCCCGCGTTCTTTGCGTCTGTGATTCTGTGTTCTTATCACCACATACACCGGAGAAAGAAGAGCGAGAGAGAGGTTTTCTTGTGAGAGAGAGGAGAGAGAGAGATGGAAATTGGTATGGGTCACTTGGGTACCTTTAGAAGCTCCGGCTTCATGAGACCTATGTCCTGCAACTGCAACTTCCTTGCTTCAGCATAATCATCACCAGACAGAGAGAGATAGAGAGAGAGAGAGAGAGTGTGTGTGTGTGTGTTTCTGATTTCGTGCAATGGAAATAGGGATGGGCCACATGGGGACTTTGAGAAGTTCCATCTTAGTGAGACCTGTGCCCTGTAACTGCAAGTTCCTTGCTATGGCATCTTCAACTTCTTTCTCGTCAATGCTTCACGCATGTCCACCTTCCATTCATTATTCCTGTCGCCGATTGAGCTCTCTTATAATACACGCTCGGAAGAAGAACATACACATAGATCCTTCCCTCGAAAAAACTGCATTTGATGAAGAAGAAGAAGTTGAACCTGAAGAAGAATTTGATGATGGTATGCCTAAATCTCTCTCTCTCTCTCTCTCTCTCTCTCTCTGTGCAAATGTTGGATGAGATATAAAAGAGTATGTATCAGATATCATGTAATCCTAGTGTTTTTTATTTGATTTTGGAGGATCTGGGAAGGCTGAATAAATCTCTAGACGTTATGGATGTGTTGCAATTGGCTGGGAATGCTACAATGTTTATAATCACAAGCAGGTCTCGAGTAGAAAAAGGTGGGGTAGGGCATGTATGAGTGTGAGAACGAGATGCCTTCCAAATGTATGATGGAGATAGTACTAGGGTCTGAAATCGAATTCGTATACATGTATCAGAGAGAGAGCGAAAAGATGAGCTTCAAGTGTTCGAAGAGGAAGAAGATGGAGACATGTTGAGGCCAGGGCAGGTCAAGGCAACCACCTCAGCCAAGGCACAAGGTGGGCCTTGGCCACCTAGCTGGATGCCTAGAGACACCTCTGCTCTAGATGATACCCCTAGGGCATTGGCCCGTCTCAGGCCGCTCCTCCTAGGTGCTGATACGGTTTCATATTGTCAACAAGCACTGTTCTGTATATTCTATCAATAAACACAACATGCTTGCATTTGATGATCAAAGCAGAGTTGAATGAACTGATGGTTATTGCCTAAGGTGATTCATTAAGGTGGATGATTGTGTCTTCCAAAATTTTGATTATTTATCATGCTGCAAGTTTTTCTAGTACATATTCAATCATATATAATTTGATCGTATTTGTTTGGTGATTATCCTAAGCTCTTGATATGCACGATTGCACAGTCTCAGTGTTAAACATGCTATACCAAGATTGATTGGATCCATCTATCTCGTGTTTTTCTTTTAATATTTTTTTAGTGATGTATGGATGTTGTTATGAAAGAAATCATTATGAGGGCTGTGTCAGCATCCAAGTTGGGTTTCAGTATTAGCTACAACCAGTTAATCTGAAAAGCATTGTGTGTTTTATTGAAGAGAATTCTGAGTCAGAATATCTCTTGCAATAGCAGTTGTATGATATCCTAGTTCAATCATGTCAAACCAATAAATGATGAATATAAGTAATATTACCCAGGAAACAAATGTAACCTATTCAATCTCGGAGAATCCTGTTATGATCTCCACACAATGTACTAACGACTCACCTTTGTTGAGAAATTCTTCTGATTTTTAGTTATGTCACATATTGGTTGCAGTTAGTGTTTGAAATATTCTTGCATCTTTGGAAGGTTCTTGAATTTCAAAATAGTACTTTTTTTCCCTATTGCGCTTAAATAAAATTTATGTTACTGGGACTCGAATTTGAGTCTCTTGGATGAGAGCCAACTATCATAATCATCTAGATTACAAAGGATTGTTTCCTTTATTTTGGCATCCCCTGTGTGGTTCGTTTCCAGTATAGGAGAGACCTTGCCTCCACCAGCCTTAAGTCAATCAATAGTGACTTCATATGGAAAAATAATATAGAGAAGCTCTATATTGAGAGAGAGCTCGAGTGCGAGTCCATTTATTTTTTCCCTCTGACAACTCCTCCGAGTGAGGAGTTACTTATTGGAATAGTCATTATATGCAACTCTAAGGACCGTATATGTGGTGAATATTTTCTCTGTTGTTCCTATCTGTCATTATATGCAACTCTAAGGAACGTATATGTGGTGAATATTTTATCTTTGTTGTTCCTATCTAATGAGACTTCTTATGTGATCTATTATCTAGCTTCACTGCTCACCAGTATTCTTATAATGCCATTTTTTAACACTGTTTGATCTATACCTTGTTTGAACTTTTAGATTATTGTTTAGGCATTATTTTTATGCTGTAGGAATGAATTATCAATGTGCTAAGAGGCAAAGATGATTTTTTAGTTGTTCTAGGCAAATGGTTTTGTGGTTTCTTGTGTGAAGATTTTCTTTACTATAGTGAAAATGTTAATTTTTGGGCGCGATATAGGAATTATGATGGATGAAGATGATTACTTTGAAGATGAATTCGAGGATCCTGAGCCCGTTGTAAGTTATCTTGTCTAACATTGCCAATTGTCAATGATTCCTTGCCTTTTATTCGGAGGGATCTAGAGGTTGGTTGCATCATGTTTGTTCTACTGGACCTGCTTGAGACTCGAGGCTCTTGATCTGCCTAACAGGCTAAGCAAGTGCCTAGATGCCACAATGCTTTTTTCTTCTTAGTTTCTGCACATTTCCTTTCCAATATGATTGATATGGAAATTCCTATGCTTCCTTTTTTCCTTTTTTTGACAAGTCCAATAGTTCTAATAGTTTCTTTAGCTACGATTCAATTGGTTTTGACTCAGAAAGCCTTTAGAATGCCTCTTGCTTCACAAAGCGCAGGTTCTCATCAAGACTCTACTTTATTTTTCTTTTCTCAAGGACGGAGATGGAGGAGGAGGTGGTGGCATTGTGCTTGCTGGTACATGGTGGGAAAGGAAAGCATTGGATATTGCACAAAATGTTGTTGCCTCCTTTAATGGTGATTTTAAAATATATTCATTCCAGGCATCTTTAAATGACACCATCCGAATTCGCATTGAGAAACTATCTAATAAGTAAGTATTGATTACTATTGGAACTGGAGTGATATTTTCTATCGCATCGTAAAATTCAGCCTTGAGAACCATTTATATCCTGCATGATAGCAACTTTATGTCACAATCCAAGTAAGTTTTGTGGCATGGTATATGAAATAAAGCAGAATATTAGAAACATTGTTAATCGAAATTTGTCCAGAAAAGTAGTTGTGATCAAAAGTTGCTCAATAGTGTTTATATTTTGGTATCTTACAAGAATGTAGACATAAAAGGCATGATATACACTTTCTTCAAATAAGCACAACTGTAGTGCACTTACCAATAATTTCGATAAATGGGAGAGAAATAATTGAATATTCATTAGTTTCTACCTAGTTCTGTCTCCTGGAAATTATTTGGAGATTCCCTCACCATTCATTTGAAACCTTTTCTCAACATCCTAATTTTTAGCTTCCAGTGTAATTATACCAGTAGCTCGTTGCAAGACAGCGATTCTACCTGAAGGGATCTCTTCCCATATGATGAATACTCAAATCTGTTAAAGTGTTCCAGCTTTTCCCCAATATTACTATATTTGTGAGCCTTCTGTCAGAGCTTGCTCTATTCCAAATATCTAGTTCCCAATTAGCTTATAGATTTATTTATGTTTTCTTATAATTTTGTTCTTGTCCTATCCTTGGGAGATGGTTCCATGTTTCCCTTTCATCCCCATCTAGCATTTTGACATTCATCTGCTGTAGTTTCCATTTCATATTAACTACCAATGAGAGAACTATACTAATGATACCCGTTTCATAGTTGCACTGCATATTTCTTTATTCTTGGCAAATTGTTAATGGAAACACTCACAACCAGATGGATTTTATGTATTTATGTATCTTTCAACAGTATTATCAGTACAGTACTTTCTATATCTGCTTAAAAGCTACAAAATTTTCATTAATATGCATTGGAATGAGATTCCTTATGTTATTTGATACCTGTTTCATAGTTGCACTGGATATTTCTTTATTCTTGCCAAATTTTTAATGGAAACACTCATCCAGTTTTATGTATTTATGTGTCTTTCAACAGTATTATCTGCACATTACTTTCTATATCTGCTTAAAAGCTACAAAGTTTTCATTAATATGCCTTGGAATGAGATTCCTTATGTTGTTTCCAACAAGTACCACATTTTCCTCATGTATTGCTTGTATCTAATGTCTGATGGTTATCATCCATAGCATAATAAGTTCCAATGTTGCCAATATACTTGTTTATTTTCATAATAGTTCTATATTTCAAATTATCGCATGTATAAATGTCATTAGAAGAATATGTTTGTACCATATGCCTAAGCCTTACCCATATCTTGCCAAGATGCTTGCATGATCTGATTTCCTATGTTGAGGTGGACATGATGTTCATTTAGACCGATGATAGCGAGTGGAGAGCAAAGGACGATCTTTTAATCCAATATGGCATTACCATGTTTGTTATGACGGAAATATTCTTTTATTCAAATAGGTTTTTGCGATCTCTATCATCATCCTCGTAACCTTTTCCCAACTATTTGGAGTCGGCTACACGATACTGGTCCGCCATTCTACTCTATCAAGGGCCATACCCTCAGTGAGACCATAAGTCCCCAAATTTTTTTTCACTACTTCCAACCATATCATTTTGGGCTTACCCTTTACGCTTTTTGAGCCTTCCACTTGAACTATCACCTCTTAACAAGTGTTGTACTGGGTCTACATTGTACATGGCCAACCCACTTAAGTCTATTTTCTCTCATCTTATCGTTTATTGGTGTCACAGCTAAATTCTTTCGAATGTATTCATTTCGAATTCTATCCCTTTTTGTCTTGCCACTCATGCATCTCAACATCATCATCTTAGCTGTACTCGTTTTATGGGTATGTTGCTCCTTGACTGCCCAATATTTTGTCCCATAAAGTAAAGCTGGTCTCACAGCTGTCTTATAGAACTTGTTCATCAGCTTTATTGGTATGCAGAGATCACATAAAACTCATGTTACACATCTCTACTTCGCCCACCCAACTCAAATTCGATGTGCGACATCTTCTTCAATCTCTCAATTTTCTACGACCTCTATGCACTACTTAAATACTTGGAACTAAGCTTTGAAACAAATTCAGGCAAAGCAACTTTTGGTTTGGAGAATGTGGATATAGTAGAAGGCATCCAAGGAGGTCCTTATTGTGGTATCGATTACACTACCAAGCTTAAGTTATAATAACTGAAAAGACTATATGCTTTCATGGGAGAAAATGTAAGGTTGATCTTGGTGAAACCCTAGCTAGGAGTATTTTTGGGACTCCAAATTTCGGTGATGTGATCTACTCAATCAAGTGACCAACCTAAAAAGAGAAAAAACTCCTACACCCTAGAACTGTATGAAAAAAATTACACCCTAGGATTGCTTCCATCCATTTTTTGGACAGCCAGATCTTGCTGTTTAGGCCCTTAAAGAAAAATAGAAAAAAAAGATTAAATACTTTATCTAACAGTTAACTTTATCAAAAAAAAAAAAAAGATTAAATACTTATCTGATGATTCTAATTTCTAAAGTTGACACAATTTTTCAGATCAAGAAAATCTTCCTAACGTTTGTCCAAGGGAGTAAATGTAAACTTTGCCCCCCACGAAGCATAGTATCTGCGCCCATTTAAGAATGACTGAATTGGACATAATCAAGGGCCCCTTAATCAAGTGGATGATGCCCAGAGATTGAGTAGTCTTTCCGTTGTGTCCTATTGGAAGGGAAGCAAAAAGTTGTTTCTTCTTCTTTGAAGGTTTAAAGATCTTGAAGTGATCATGGTATTTATCTCCATTTGAAAAGGGCAACTATATCCAAACAGATTCCATGGAAGAACACAGAATAGAGAGCAATGCTGGTCTGTAAATACATTTCTTGGTATTTATACAAGAAAAAGGATAAGGGCTAAATTATACCCTAGTTTAAACTTTGAAATGCATGATACAAGTGTGCCTCTGAATTGGTAAGTTTATTTGTTACATTGTAGACTTGTAGAAGGAGGAACATGGTACATTTCTGAAACATATTCGGAAAAAATGTACATACGTTTTCACAGTTAGATTTTTCTTTAAGTCGATGCTTATGGATCCAAATCCAAAGATCTAAATTGAGGGGCTTTCTTTGAGGTGGATGCATGGTAAGCGTGTCTTAGGATTAAACATTGATTGCAGATGACTCTGGCACCTTTTAACAACTTGTTCGCTATAACGGTTTCGAAAAAATTAAACCAGATGACATTTTCTACAGGTACGGTTCACCTAGTATGGGCGACATTGGAATTTTCTCCATGGCCTATAGAGAACGCTTGGATGAAGCTGAGCATGCTGGAGCTGTGCCGGAGAGTTTATCCTTAGAGGTGGGAAATTTTTTTATTTCAGCCTCTTTCATATTTTATGTTTTCATTTGAGGTATGGTTTCTTTGTTTCTTTATTGTTCAGCATCTGCATATTGTGAAAGAAGAGATGGAAAGAGACTTATTATTGTTGCCATTTTTTTTGTTACATCTCATTATAAGTGTGAGCTATCTTAATGGTAGTTATGTTAAATGAAAGCTATATTCCCTATCAGTGTTTCTCTTAATGATGTTATTCTTGATTCTTCTTACAATTTTAATGGCATCAAAGCTATCAATAAACCAAATATTGGATTTTTATTTTTTTAGCCAATGGTTTTGAAGCAACCTTCCTCTTCACTTCTGTGGTAGGTCTCTTCTTAATTTTATGCTACATCTTTTTATATGTGCCCGATGAAATGCTCTGTCTCTCTCTCTCAAAATTTCTTTCATGTCTCTCACAAGCACTCCTCTCTTTTATGAGATCCCTCATTATTTCATGTAGCTTAATCTCTTACTTCATTTTCATGTCTCCATTGACCCTGTATCTTCTCCAGTCACCTTATTTTCATTTTAAAGGAAACCTCAAAGAACTCAACTGAGAAACTCTGAAGGCTACCCTTTGGAGCCTGCTACTCTAGTACATAAATCTTCAACATTAAACCCTACGTCTTAAGAAAAAATAAAATTAGACCCTTATGTTGATACTCATCCCTAAATCTTATCCTTCTATTTGTAGATTGTCCATCTTCCAAGAGTTTTCCCTACTCTTCTAAAATTTTTCTTCTCCACTCATGAACTCATCTGAGCTCAACCCTCTTAACCTGATGCTCTTGGGTAGCAATAACGTGAATTATGGGCTCATAATCTGAGTCACTGCCCACATTCAAAGCAATAGTGGCATCTTAAATGTTCAAATCATTTGTGAGTGGTTTTCTCAGAACTTTCTTCATCCATGTAGCTTTCAAAGCCTTTGCTACAGAGAGGGCCTTTACGCATCAGGATCAAGTCGATGTTGCTTTCTTTGGGACCAAGGTTGGTTGGCCATTTCTCACCTTATATGTGAAGGCCAAGGATCTCATCATGCATGTGTGGCCTCAGCAAGTACAATCAATGCTTATCGGATTCCCTTTGGAGCGCTCTTCATTTTGGTCAGGAAAGGGAAACACTTCTGTTTCTCAGCCAATTCAGGGGAACTAGAAAAACTTTCAAAATACTTTTTAAGACTGTGAACATGTCAGGCATGTTATGAGTTTTTAAACAATTTGGCATATTTACCATATTTTTAAGTGTATGGGGCATATTTCCCAAGTTTTCACCAAAATTTCCTTAAAAGTTTTGGGGTGGATTTTCTTTGCTTTGGTTTAATGGCTCAAGTCAAGAGTTCAACTAAAGCGAAGCAAATCTGGTAACACTAACTACAAGGATCGGTTCCCTTTGATAAAGAGGTGTTTTTATCTTTTTGCCTAGATATGTATCAGTCTCCATGTAGTGAAAATTTGCAAGCCCCCTTCCCCCCTTTTTTTTTTTTGTATCACCCCCAAATCCCTTGTCCAAATCATATTACTCACACACGTGTGGTGATGCGACAACTAGGGTTTTATAGGTTTTTTATATCATATTTTTAAGAGATTGGAATAAGATTTGGGGATGTTGGGGTTTCTGGTTTTCTTTTAGGGTATTTATTTATTTTTCTTTTTCAGAGAATTGAAAGGTAGAGTTGAAAGTTTAATTTTTAAAGGATGGAAGGGTGAGATTTAGTAGAAATTAGAGTTTCTTATGAGGAAAGTTGGTATTTTTTAAGGTTTTTCTATGATGAGTGTTGAAAGTGTAAAAGAGAAAAGACATCGCTCTTTTCGGTCTTATGGAAATATCTTGAGGGTGGAGTCCCGTACAAATCCAAAGAGAGGGTAAATCTCTTAACCTTTGGGGCCGACTTGCCTGCAAACCTAAAGAGAAAGTATAGTTTGTTACATTATTCCGGTTCATTTTATTTTTCCCTTCCCCCTCTTCCCTACATCAAGTGTTAACATAGCTTTAGAAGACCCCATCCATCATGATACACCCAAAACCCGCTTTTATGATTGAGGATATACTACCACAAGTTATTGAGGCTAAGAATCAGAACATAAATCGAGTAGTGGAAGGTCAAGTCCAGACTGGAAATATTTGAGGAATGATTGGTGAACTTCGAGGAGAGAGAGGTGAGATAAAGTGGCAGCTGCAATGATTAGAGAATACTGGTTGTCACGAGGAAGTTGTTCCATAATCCAGTAGATTCGCCACCAATCTCGACCTTCATGATTGGAGTGAGAAGAAACTTGAGCATATTGAATATAATGAAGATATAAATCTCAATGGAAAAGAGGCTGACATCAACCCAAAACTGCAATAAGTATCAATAATCAATTATGAAGAAAAAACATGCTAGCGGTCATGTGAAGCACAACCATTTGAGCTCAAAGGAGAAATTGATATTATGCTTGATATCTCTCACTTCCACTACATGTTTGAAATAAAGTATTATGTTGATTAGCTTTTGGAAGTGAAAAAGGGTACCCAAACAAACAGTGGAACTCCACCAACTACTGAAAATGCGTCTGAAGGATATGATGAACCCAACAAGCTTGATGTCCAGCTTCTCTCAATTTCAGGAGAGTGATGCAAATAGGGTTTCCAAACTTTTTTTCTCATATTTTTTAGATTGAAACTTGGTTTGGCATCTTTGTTTTCTTTTAGGGTATTCATGTCATTTATTGTTGTAGAGAACTGAAGAGAGTAGGAAGTTCCAGTCTTTAAAAGATGAAGGCTTGGGACTTAATAGTGATTAGGATTTCTTTTGGGGCAAGTTAGGTTTTTAAGTTATTTTCCATAAACATTGAAGTCTTGGACAAGTGAAAGAGAAGAAGAATTGGTTTTTTAAATCTTGTGAAAATATCTTTTTGTGGTAGACTCCCTCGCAACCTAGAGAGGGTAAAATCTCTCAACCTTGGGGTGAGTTCCTCTGCTATTCTCTCACCCATTTTCTTTTAATTTTTCTGGTTAATTTTATTTTTCCTTCTCCGTATTCCTTGCATCATGTAATAGTGCATAATGTTCTTTGGCAATCTATTCCTGTATGTCTTTCAATTCCTTTGGCCTTCATTAATCGCATCCTTTTGGGAGTCAATGGCACCCATCAATGCATAACTTCATCTTGGCCAGCAAATTTTAGGCTGTTGATATTGCAATGTATATCCAAAATTTTACCTCCATTGTAAGGAACTGTAGCAGCCAAGTGAGTCCTAATTTTTAACAACAAATTGAGTTCACAACTGAAACTTGAATTGCTGGATTCGTCAAAATTCCATCCCGTGATCCATGTCTCATTTGAAGAAGTTCGTAAGACAAGCAATGGTGTAAACACACCACCTGTTTTTTACCTAATAAGGAGGTCCAATGGTTGAACTGATGGCCATTCTAAACAGGTGGCTTCAGAAGCAATAATCATGCAGTTGTTGAGGTTCTCTAGCATTACAATGAGATTCAGTCAGAGGACACTGCAGAGGAATTATTGCATAAAGTTTGAGAGAGGTTTCAATGTTTCCAACCTTGAGAGCATGGTTGATTTTGTGAGAGGTGGTGTCTTACAGCCAGATACGAGCACTTGACTACATTGATTTGGAATCGTTCAGGACTTCCTAGATTCTATAGGAGATAGGGTTGGGATGGCATGAGTTTTCTATTAATAAGAGCTATGGAAGTCAAGTGTATGGGTGGGCAGCCGGCCTGGTTGACCTGGCCCTCAACAGCCTGGGCCCTGGGACACTAAATTTTGCCTGAGGCCCCCAGGTCTGAGCCTGGAATCTCGACCCAGTGGTTGGGCCATGACCTAGGCCAGGGGCCAGGGCCTGGCTTGACCTGACCATTTTTTTTATTCTTATCGAATTTGAGAAATATTCAAATTACTTATAGGTCCGACCCCTCCCAAACCATTATTAGGACCAGGCTGGGCCTCTTAGCCAAGAGCCTTGACTGGGTTTGGACCAGGCCCGGCCTGGTTCTGGCCAGCCTTAGCTCAGCCTGTTGCCACCCAACATAAGTGGTAGTCGAGGAGTTATCAAGTTTCCAAAATAAATGATATTCTTGGATGGAGTAATAGGAATATGCGTAGAGGGAAAGAGTACTTTCGGAATAAGGAAAATACGAAGGAGGGTGGCTCCCTCAAAGTGGCCCTGCACCTTTCTTCTCTTCTTCATGGATCAATTTATTATGTTTTTTTTATTCATTTACTCTTGCTAGTCTTCTAAGTTTTATGCAGTATTAACACTCAGAGATGGAGATATCGAGCATCTACCTGCTTGTGCTCATTCTTCCCTCGGATTTGACAGTGGCCAGGAATTCTTGTCTTCCAACCTTTCTCACCTCCCCAACTCCCTGGAGAGAGAGAGAGAGAGAGATTGGGGCATGGGTGGTACTTGCCTCCAGTCGTCAATGGGGGTTTAGCATGTTGGGATCGATTGGTGAAAAATCACCAGGGGTTCATCACATTTACAACTATTATGCATTCAAATCAAACATAAACAAGCAATGGAAATAACATAGCATCAAAAGAACAGCATGGAATGAAAAATACAGCAGCAAACAACCCACAAAACACAAAGATTTTATGTGGTTCGGTCACAAAATGTGATCTACATCAACGGGAGAATGGCACGAGGCTTTACTTGCTTGTTTGAAGGAGATTACAAGAAAGATTAAGCTCCAAAGCCCCAAATTCCAGCAGCTTTAACTCACAAAACAGGGCTCAAAATAGGATCCAAACACACAACAATGTGCACTCTCTCTCTAAAGTACAGCCTGCAATAGGGTCCCAGAAACCCAAGTATATGCCAAAAAATCTCCACTTTCTCTCTCTACAAAGTGGGAAAAACTAGGCCCAGCAGTACGCACCGTGTGTGTGCTCTCCTTTCTTCCTTCTCGCACTCTTTCTCTCTCTAAACAAAAGGGTTTTAATCCCTTTAAGGTAAAGTTCCTACAACATTACAACCATTGGATTAGAAGCAATCCAATGGCTCAAAAGAAGAGGTAAAAAGTAAAAAGAGTCACATGTGTGATTTGGCTTCACACATATAACAATCTTCCTCTTGAAGACAAATCACCGAGCCTCTAAAATAATCACCAACATACCATTCTCCATCCATCAGGTTATTCCTTTCTTGAGGAAGCTAGTGAGCTTAGACAAATGCCACATGCCCTCTAGCTCAATCACCTCCACGAGCATACCTTGCTCATCTTGCTTTGTACTTGTACTTCTCATACAAACTCTACCTTCTTCAACATTTTTTTCGAAGGAAAATCATGGGAAGCTTTCATCTTCACATATTCTTGTAAGAGCTCTAAGTCTTGACGATTTCGACTATCCTTGTCAAGGACTTGCTTTGTAGCATCAAGTTCTTCCATTGCCAAACCATGTGCCCCTTGTCGAACTTCTTCTTCTACAATCAAAATTTACCCTTTTGTTTATAATTGTGCTCCTTAACAATTTGTACAAGTTTCCTTCTTGGATTCCCTTCATCATCACCAGAGCCCCCTTTGAAACTTTGAGCACTCCACCTTGTTCGGTAAATTTGTAGCCTTCTTTATCGAGAGTAGGAACTGAAATCAAGCTTTTCTTCAAGTCTGGCACATGTTTCACATTTCGAATGTATGGACCATACTATCATACATTTTTTATGTGAATATTACCAATGCCCAAACTTTACAAGCTCTATCACCACCAAGATATACAAAGTCACCATCCACATCTGTGTAGGATGAAAAGCATGATCTTTCTAGGCAAACATGAAATGAAGCTTCAGAATCCAAGACTCAACTATCTTCAGCAAACAGTGTTATGCATGCAACACTAAAAGTGACTCCATCTTCACCATCAAATATCGTACTTGCTTCGGCATGGCCATCCTTGCATTTGGCCTTTTGCTTATCTTTCAAAGCATAACAATCTTTCCTTGTATGACCAGGTTTTTTGTAATACCAGCAAGTAACTTGCTTGCCCTAAGCCTTGGACCTGCCTCTGCCATGAGATTTACCCCTATTAAATCTATAGGGTTGATCTCTATGTTGTGTTCTTCCTTTATCTCCTGCTGCCAATGTTTGATTTGATTCAACAAGCATTTGTGTGTATGCCTTTCTAGTTTCTTCATTTAAAAATGAAGCAACGTCTTTCAAGTTAAATTTGTTGCTCATTGTATTTGTCACAGTGGTAACCAAGGTATCCCAACTAGCAGGTAAAGAACTCAGTTAAAGCAAACATAAAACTTCTTCATCCAAATTTACTTTTAGAGACTTCAATTTTGCAAAAATGGAATTAAATTCACTCACATGTGATCTAATTATTAGACCTTCTTTCATTTTCAAAAGAAACAATCTTTTCATCGCCTGCATTTTATTTGCACCAGAGTCAAAAGGTTGTTTTAAAGATTGCTAAAGCTCTGCAGATGTTTTACATAGACAAAGATCAAATAAAATTGATGGTGAAATACATGGTTTAATAGCTGCCAGACATTTTCGATCAAGAATATCTCATTCTCGATCTTCCATTCCATCAGGCATGACCTCGTTTCCTCGAAGTGGCTTATCTAGTTCCTTTACAACTAGATAATCTGCCATCATCATCTTCCATATTGGCCAATTACTTTGATTTAATTTTTCAAATTCCATTGCCCTTTCCATTTTAGGGAAAATACAAGAAATAACCACAATAGCAAAAACTATTTCTTTGCATACACAATAAAGAACAAACCCTAGGCTCTGATACCAGTTGTTGGGATTGATTGGTGCAAAATCACCAGGAGTTTATCACATTTACAACTATTATGCATTCATATCAGCATAAACAAAAAATGGAAATAACATGGCATCAAATGAATATCATGGAATGAAAAATACAGTAGCAAACAACCCACAGAGATGGTTCAGTCACAAAATGTGACCTACATCCACGGGAGAATGGCGCGAGGCTTTGCTTACTTGTTTGAAAGAGATTACAAGAGAGATTAAGTTCCAAAGCCCCAAATTCCAACAGCTTTAACTCTCACAAGACGGCCCAAAATAGGGTCCAACAATGTGCACTCTCTATATATATATATAGTACAGCCTGCAACAGGATCCCAAAAACCCAAGTATATGCCAAAAAATCTCCAGTTTCTCTCTCTACAAAGTGGGAAATACTAGGGCCGGAAGGAAAATCATGTAGATGTTTAGGAACGACAGGTGGTCTTCTTTTCTAGTGGTTGTTGAAGCTTGTTTTCTTCAACAGGTGGCATGTTGATTAAAACTGTGTTTTTTTTTTTTCTTTTTACACCAGTTTTCTCTATATTTTGGAATTTGGAATAACTTTGGATGATAGCTTTTGTGATTCTTTTTAAAGTGGATTCCTTTTTTAAGTGTTTTTTTTAATTATAGGTATCATCTCCGGGGGTCGAGAGGATTGTCCAAGTCCCTCAAGAGCTCGACCGGTTCAAAGACTTGCCCATGTATGTAAAATATGTAGGAGAAATGTGTGTCACTGGCTCCTTGAGAGAGAAAGATGGGATTTTGAGGCTTGATTCCAGTGAAGATAATTCTAACACACAGATTTCTATGACTAATTCCTTGAGAGAGAAAGATGGTATTTTCAAGCTTGAATCCATTGAAATGGAGTCTAGCCATTGCATTTGGAGTCTAGCAGATGTAAAAAAAAATAAAGAATCCACAGGAAAAGGAAGGCCGCTTAGCAAGAAAAAGAGGGAATGGCGGTTGCGAACACCTTTCAATTCCTTACGGCTTGTTCGGTTGTATTCTGACTGCTGAATTCGTGTTAACGGTAAATGGGCTTAACATACACTCTTTATGTAGTTCGGGGGGCTCTTTTCTATACACAAGGTTTAAGAATCCATTCCGAACCGGTCATATTCATATATTAGATTTATGTGTGTGTGTGTGTGCACACGCGTGTGTGAAAGGCATCCATATGGTTTAGATTTACTCGTTCTGTTTCAGAGCTTTTTGATATGTATTTTATGGTTTGGAGCCACTCCCGCACTTTGACACAGTTAAGCTCTTTTGAGTTCTTTTTTAGCTTGAGGGCACAAAAACCACTGCAATGACCTGATGCTTGAGGATATTGGGAAGCTGAAGTAGTGAAAAAGTATGGGAGCTGATGACTTGCCACCTTATTTTTCCCCATGGATTCTATGTTAAGGTCACAATTAGGAATTTAAGAAGATAGTTGCCTCATAATGATGGGTAAATGTCCTTATCTTAAGAATCCATGCTACAATAATGTTGAAAAGGGATGATCCATAGCAAAAGGTTCTAGATAGATGCAAGTAGATTGTAGTAATTGTAATTCTAGTGGCAGTTTTGAAGCCCCGTGTACAATTCCATCACCAAGTAAAGGTAATAATTGTTGACAGATGAAATACCTTGTCACAATAACCAATTCACACAATATGTAAATGATTTTAAAGTCTGAACATGTAATAGTTAGCCATTCGAATTTTGTTTTGTTTATTGTTGCTGAGTGCTGTATTAAAGAAGTATAGAGAGTACAATAGAGTTGCAAAGGAAGCCCACAGTAGTTAGCCATTTGAATTTTGAAGCTTCAATTATGGTTTCTAATTGATGAGGGTTCATGCAATTGATCATGTGATTTTCTCTTCAAACATTTGTACTAACATTGTTTCTTCTATGCCCTAGAACAATCAACTCACCTTGAGATCATGGAGGGGTTGGAATATTGCATAGAGATTTAGAAGGTGCAAGGAAGCACATTCAAACTCTAAAAAGGAGGCAATGAAAAATTTTTGTGAATTTAGGGCACTTTTGAGTTATTTAAGAGACATTTGTAACCCCACTAAACCAAGATTTTCTCCTCGTAATTCTGTGTCTAAGGATATGCAAGGGAGTTTTGCAGCAAATCTTGATGGGAAATCTTGCAGTGAGTTGGATCCGAGTTTGCTCTCATGTCCCTATGTACCTATATATTCTTTTGTTATTATTTGAAACCTTTCTTAAGGGTTCATTTTCCTATGGGAACAACATGGCAATGGAACTTGCAACCTATAGAGTATTGTGTTCAAGGTGTTCAACTTAAGACCTATTTTCCTACATGGTGTGGAAAATATTGGAATACATTCGAGTGGATCTACACACGAATAAAAAAGATATTGGTTGCTCCCAAACTACACAAGATAGCCTCCATCCACTACAACTTGAACCTTCAAAAGCAACTTAAGAGGAAAGCTATGGACTAAGACCATATCAACTTGGAACAGATATTTCTATAGGATCTAGAAGAGTAGTAGTTGGAAGCAATGTTTTAAAAAAAGGGATCTGTGGGGCAGATTGTCCACCTCCAATTCCTTGTTCGGATCGGCAGCATTGGCAATCTGGATCGTTCTCGAATCAGCTGGGTTGGTGATCCAAAAAATAATAACAATAATTAAAATAGAAGTTTATAGGGTAGGGATTTAGTGAGGATCATATAAAACATTAGATAGGCCTAAAGAAAAAAAAAGTAAAAAAGGGTGCTTTAGGAGGGTATAGGATCGGGATTGTTACTATTCTAGAACCGGTTTTGTCCTGACCGATTTCACATCTGGATTGGCAATCCGGATCAAAAATCTCTAGGTTTTAAAATAGTAGTTGGATGTAAGGGAGTCCTTTCTCAATATGAAGGTACCACAATAAAAGTTGCGGCCCAAAAAAGAGGAAGAAGACTCCTTGGTGCCCAAGAGGCACAAGTTGAAGGTATAAAATTTGAGGGAGTACAGGTCGAGGAGTTAGGAGAAGATGGAAGAGATGATGATGATGATGAGAACACTGAACCAGACAATGGTGACACAAGGGGTCCTTATATGAGTACAAGCAGCGGGGTGGTGGCGAGCATGAGAGCTGGTCTTGGGAGCTTTGGGTTAGGATCGACCGTTGAAGTTACCCAATAGACAGTCATTCCTAAACTGTTAGGGAGATATTCAGGATGACCATTATCAGGATGTTTTTCAGCCTCTTTGTCTATCATATCAGCTGCAGATGGAGTCATTTGACATGTAACTCATTATTTTTATGAACTCCAATTTGGAAAGACACTCTAAAAAAGAAAACCCAGTTTCTATAAATTTTTTATTTTTCGTTAATATACATGATCGGGCCGGTCTCACCGAGCCAACTCAGCCTAGACCATGTCTGAGTCTGGCATTTAGAACACTATTATGAAAAAGCTCCTCTCTTTGTGCATGTCTCTACGACTGGTGGTTTGGTTTATGAGTCACTGATCATGTGACTCGACAAAAAGTTGGCTTCATTGATGTGAAACATAGCATAGTCATTTAGGATGGCCTGCTAGGGTGCTCCAAAATGACATCTAAAGTTTCATTTCATCCGAGCTATGTAATGAACATATAAAGAAAAGAAAGACTGAGACTTTAAAATATCAAATTAATGTATTATTTATTATGAAGTACTTTAATAAAGTAAATTTGAATTCAAAATACAAACTAAAAACCATAACTACGTTAGACGTTTAATAAACGATAAAGTTGAAAGGAACTCTTACACAAATTAGTGTTAGGTCTGCAGCCAACAGTAAAAGCATTTTCATGATGGTTTATGCCAACCTCTTCCATACCTTCCTGATCAAACTAATAATCGCTTTGAATTTGTAACCAAGTTGTTAGGTCTTCTGCTGAAATTCACTATAGAGTAAAAGAATTTAGTATTATGATCACCCTCTTTTAACCACTTAACCTTCGATCGCTGCCTTGAATAACTTTCAGCCAACCTTAAACATTCTTGAAGTTCAATATTCAACTCAATCCTCTCCACAAATTGGGCCTCCACAAGTCCCATATTGTCTTAGGTCCATGAAGTCTGCCCAATAATTCACTACACTTATGTTTCACATTAAAATTATTAGCCATCTTCCATTGGACAATATTATTATTCACCTGCTGTAACTTTTTTTATCATTATATAACCATACCAACCGTGCACCACAGTGTTTGACCTAGTATTTTTTATACGAAACTTGTTTCATGCTGCGAGGACCGCATTTCTACAATATTTGATCCTCGAGTTATAAAGCATCCATCTTAAAGATGGATGCAAATAGGTAGTCCATCTGAAAACAATTGATACTAACAGTTAAATGTTTTCCGAATAGAATTACTATTTCTAATTTTCAAATTTTATTTATTTTTTTATATTCATGATCTCCATGTTAGAGATTACATGTCCTTAAAAATTAAGTCTACAAATCTATCTCAAAAATAGATTTTTAAGAGGTGACTCATTTCTATATGGATTCATAAAAACCGTGTCTTTTTTTATGGGTTGTGGTTTCCAAAAGGTTGCAACCTTAAACAATCCAATTAAGGCACGCCTTCAAATTTGATCATAACATATAA